AACTCTAAAAACCCTAACCTGACCCTAAAAAAAAAACCAAGAAAATACACCTCAAAAAATTTTAAAATTTCATAATAAAATAGGTTCAAATCTCACCATAATTCACAACAATACTTAATATATACCCATTGCCTAAGTTCACAATCTAAGCTAGTCAAGTGATACTAATAATGCATGCTTAGGTTTATCTCATAACGTTGTAATTTAAGTTTACTGGTGTTAGGTAATGTTGACATAATATATCAACTTTTTTGAAATAATGGTCATGATAATCTTCATCCCAGCTTGCAGGCAGCTCACCAACAGCTTCATTAAATTTAACAAACTGACTTTCTTTTACAATTAATCTTTCAATTGCATCTTCAAGCTCTAATAGCGATGAATTCCTATTAATATTTTCCTTAATAATTCTATTATACGATTCAACACGCTGCATGCTTTGTATTCCTGCATTAAACGCACAGTGTGTGAAACAAAGAGCCCAAGTTTCCCAACACTGGTAAAGATAATATTGCATATAATTTGTAGCATCGTCATACTCATTTAACAGTGTAGCCTATCTTTCTTCAAAAATCAATTCTACACGACTATTTCATGCATAACAGAATGCAGAAAAAAATTTACACTACTTATCATTACTATATTTGGTCATAAAATATTTTTCCAAATTTTTTCTAATATAAATAGACAGAAGTAATGTTTTGTTGTTGGCCAGGAAGTATTAACTGCAGCAATCATAGCAGGATCAGTATCAGTATAAAGCAAGCTTAGTGCTAATCCACCTGTTGCATTAAAAAAGCTATTAAATAGCCATGTAAAACTGTCCTTAGCTTCGTCAGAGAGAAGGGCTGTGCAGCAAGGTGGGAACAATATAATTGTCCACAAGGATCACAACACATAAAACCATCGAATACCAGTTGGTTTTTGACATTGTGTCAAGAAGAATAATGTCATAAAAACGAGCCTAAAGCTCTTGTTGAGATGGTCTCATCTAGCAAAGTCCTACAAGACGATTACACTGATCTTCAAATCTGGCATCAATGTAAAAAGTCGGATTTTCTTGCTTTTTTTCTATTAGTTCAAGATACACAAAGGCAGCATCACTATTAACAAAATTTTGGTGACGAATAAATTGTATATAATTATAAATATTGCGGGAGTGAATATATTGTTCTGGATTTTTACGTTGCAAAATATCAATTATTACACCAACTTTTACACCACATTCTGCTAGTAACTTTATATCATCACATATTGTCGGAGTGAGCTTTCTATAATGTGATGAAAGGACCTTGATATTTTTTATGAGCTTATAATTATGCTAATTTTCAACCTTTGTTATATAGATTAGATTATCCTTCTTCTATCAATAAGTATTAATGCAAAACCTGCAATCACCAGTATTATGTCCTGTATTACGACTTTTATTGATATGAGCTTCCTTTCTTGGTATTTAAGGCCGACCTTTTAAACAAGCATAGGTACATCATCGAGGTAAACTATCGTCTTTATCCTTATCACTATGTGTGATTGTAAATGCAAACTCTTGTTCTAACCCATAAAATTTCAATCATCTAACAGTATAAAAAAAGCAAGAAAATCCGACTTT